TGTCCTAGCTGCACAAATAGCATCGTATTTTTCTAAATCACGTGTCATAGCAGTAACCAACACTCTGCAATGCTTAAGTCACATAGGAAGGTCCCAGACCATGTCCCAAAGTCGCCCTGTTCACCCCAGTGGTGTGTGTGTACCCGTAATCCAGGCTGACTGAGGCTGGAAATGGGTTGTAACATGAAGACTCTGTCTGGGGTGCCTCTTTCTTTCTTTCTTTCTTTCTTTCTTTCTTTCTTTCTTTCTTTCTTTCTTCTTTCTTTCTTTCTTTCTCTTTCTTTCTTTATATTTTCTACAGTTTTTGTCATAGAGCATGTGCACTTGCAAGAGACAGAAAGAGAGAAAGACAGTGAAAAGGAAAGTGAGAAACCAAACCTGGTGGTGGGGGTGGAGGGGATGGCCACACTGCCATCCCTTCTCTTTCATTCTCTTCCTGGGATTCTGGGCATGCACACATACACTCCCAGTGTGAGTTTCAGGCCTCTAGGTTTGGGACACGAACTGTGGTCTGCCATATGGGAGTCCGATGCTGCTGGGACCATGCAGTTAACACAACCTGAGTATGAAAGAACTGCCCCTCATGCCTAAGAGCAAGGACTCAGCTGAGGAGAACTGTTTGCAAGGTCAACAGTTTTATGGGTTCTAATCCTCCATTGTGTTGCTGTACTGGCCTGCACTCAATTTCTCTGCCATGGGCCTTATTGCCGTACCCCGGTACCCCATAAAGGCACCCCCTGCATTATTATAACTTTTACAATAAACCTGAAGGAATGCAGAACCACTAAGGTGGCGGCTGCAAATGGGAATTACTCCCATTAGACTCACCCCCACCCTCCTGGAAAATGTCAATAAAGAATGCTACATTCACTTGTCCTACTGGGGATTACATCGATAAGCACTAGGAAGGTTTAGGTTAAAGCTACTAAATTGGCGAAACAATCTCAGTAGCTGGGAGGGGCTCAGGGACTCATCCATGAGGTGCTGTTACCCCGAAGACCATGAGCCACCTTTAATCTCAGGACAAGGGAACACTTTAGTATATACTAACCTTGTCTTTACTAAACCAGACAGGATTTATTTCTAGGCCCTTGTAACCAGCAATTTGCTGCCACCCTAGCCTGAGGCTGAAGTTCTCAAAGCTGACCTGGAGTTCAAGTTTTCAAGTCGATCTGGGACTGAAGTTATCAAGCTGGCCTAGGACTGAGGTTATTAAGATTCCTGGGAACCCTCTCATCCAAAGACCCTCCCCGGTAATCAAGATCTAAGAAGAGAATGCACCCGAAAAATGGACTTCCTTGTTCTAAGAATTATGACTGTTTATACCTAGACAAAACAGACGTCATGTTTTATGGTTATTGTTCCTATATTTTGAATGCTTTACCTTTTGGAGTAAAATCTTTCACTTCTCCTCACCCATCCTGCTCCTGTAAAACTCCTTCTATAATAAATACGCATGACTCCTGGCCATCAGGGCTGCAGTCTTGAGTTTACTCTGGCTGTAGCCGGCTGAGAACATGCTAAGGGGCATTGAGGTCTTGGCTTGATTTTGTTCACCCGTGTCACCTTCCTGTGCACCCACCCCGGCTGGAGCACGGCTTTCGGCATGATGCCTTAACCACTATGCCATCTGCTGGCCCCAGCCCTCTCTTTTTTATGTACATAAGTTCATGCTCATGAAATAAATCAATAAATAAACTTTTTAAATAAATAAATAAATAATCAAACTTTTTAAAAAATTGATTAAATACAATTAAAAAATTGAAGTAAAATTTAATTCGGTGCCTTATTTATTCTACATATTTTTTTTTGTTCTAATTTCCCCCCATGTTCTACTATGTGGTCTATTTCAATTTCTCCCTATGCAGTGTTTTCTACTGATTATCACGACTTCATGCCCTCTATAAACATCCAAAGCCTTGGGAGGTATTCTTAAATCCCTCAGTTAATCTTCAGCTATATCTCACACCTCGGCCTTTTTGCATCTCTGAGTCAGACCATCTTACCCTCTTCCTGTCACTGACATCCAGTTCCTTCTTCCCCTGTCTTCTGTGAGGCATACTTTATTGAATGTCAACTGAAAACCAGAAACAAAAACAGGACAGCTCTACTTGGGGCACACAGGTAGCTCTGTTTCTTCTCAACACACTGTCATCTTTCCTTGACCAACCTCAACTCTTCCAGTCACCAACACAGGAACCACTACTTCTACCTAACTCTCACTGACAGGAAGGCACCGGAGAATCTCAGCAGCAGTGGGGATTGGTTCGTCTTGAGAACTCCAACCAGTTATGAAGACTCTGGATTTATTTCTCATATCTGGCATCAGAGCCTTCCTTTCTGCAATAAAAATAATCCTTAATTTCCACTTTGATGATTCCTAAAGCTCAGGCTTCAGGAGTTCTCTTCCAAGGCCTGAGAATCATATTTCGGAATAGGAAACAAAAATTCAGAATCTGGTTCCACTTTTCCTCCTCCTTTTCCCATTCTACTATGAGACCTACTTTCCAATCAAACTTGCCTCTTCACTGTGTCTGAACATAGTGTTTCCGTGTCTGGCAGGGTTTATAAAGAAACCCTGATACCGACCATAATGTCAGAGTACACCTTCTTATCTCTGGTCTCCCTAGGCTCAGTCATTGCCTAAGCCCACTCCATGGGCTCATCTCCCATTAAAAAGACTACATAGGTCTCTAAACTACGTTTTTCTTGTTGGTAGAATGATCATTTATTAATTTACTACAAAACCTAGAAACAGCTGGTGAACCCTGTGTTCTCTGAGTTTTATGGCACTCATTAGTTAACATCTGGGCAAGGGAATTGCATGGCCCCTAGGTTCTCAATAAAGGTCACATCCCAGTTCTTGCTTCCAACATTACCTGCCCATATTACTTAATTGTATTCTATTTTTTTTTATTTCTACTAAACTGTTTCATGTACAAATTCCTTGCCCTATCTAGATTCCTTAATTCTACAAATACATACAGGCTCCTTTCATGTTCAAGAAAAATTATTAGATAAAATGGGTATCCTAAATATGAGTAAGAGTTAATACCAAGCTTCAATCTGGAGAAGATAAGAGATAAATAAACTAAAATCTGTAATATGAAACGGACAGTGGTAATAGCCACAAAAAGCCTTTAAATGATAATAACCATCCAGACTCTGTTCTATGCACTTTATGCATATTATATTATCTCATTTATTCTCATGAAACACCCTAAGGTAGGTAGATTTATCTTTGTTTTAAAGAGAAAGAAATTAAGGTTCAGAAAGATTTAGTAACTTGCACAATAGACAGCCACTAGTAAATCGCAGCACTGGAATTTCATTTTAAAGTCTTCACTCTTAACCCTATAGGGAGTTCAAAAGAGGAAAAAATAACGTCTAGTTGGAACATCAGGAAAGTCCATGAAGCAACTAATTTTTGAGATTGATTTTGAATTGTATTTGGATTTTAAGAAATAGAAAAAGATAAAAGAGAAATTTAAGACAGTGAAGACAGTGGAAGTGGGAATGTCAGGTTTATATTATATTATGAACAATAATTAGAGGTGGTTAACTGGAGAACAGCATTTGAGTAAGAGGTTATACAGTCATGCTGAAGCCAGATTGAAACAATATAGGTTTCCATGCTGAAGCACGTGCATTTAATTTAGGAGATAATAGGGTCTATACACCCAACTTCAGCACTAAGCCTTACTGTGCAACGAGACAGATCAGGCCTTCATAACCTGAGATTCACCTTAGAACAGAAGAGTAGACAATGAAACTGTCCAGAGATGAAGATCAAAGGGACAGTTTAAACAATGGTAGAGAAACTGAATTCTTTTTTAATTTATTTTTTAATTTCTATTTAATCACTGTACACCTCTACATTGTACAAGATGGATTTTCCCACTATGAATACAGTGCATATTAGTCAAGTCAAAGACATTGTCTTACACATTATCATTAACAAATAACTTCTCATTTTTTTCTATTAGAGAAAGTGTATCCTTAGTAGTAGTTTCTGTTCAGATCTGTGGTGAGCCAAGAAGACAGAATGCAAGAGACTAGACTGTAGGATGAGAATGAAGATCCCATAGAACTTATGGGTGAGAAAGAAGGCAAACACATGTCTAGAACAGGGGACTAGTTTGGTATGTTGGAGGCAGTGTGGCTAAGAATGTGTGCCACTTTAACTAGTAACAGAAGGAATGTAGAGGGAAGTCACTGAGCTCAAGCAAAGGATATTCAACACTGAGTTCCCAGCACTATGTGCTGTGCCTGGAAATTAGTGAGTGAATGAGAGTGCAATCGATTAGTGGAATTGTCACCAGAGATGTCTTAGATATATTTTCAATGCCCAATGATTCCAAGAAGAAGATACGAAAACAGGAGATACCCACATGTCTACAGATAACAGGACACTAGGAAACTAAGTCATAATGACAAACCGGAAATTGAGAATGAGAAACCACCATGAAACATGAAAGAACAACAACAACAAAATAACAGAGTAATCATAGCATGTAAATATTAAGCTTCAGGGGAACATAAAGCCTGTACACTTCTCTTTCTTCTTAGCAATGCCTGGCTGTATTATTTGACATTGGATTAACCAAAGATGAAGGGATCTTTCAGAATCCCAGGATATTCTACAAACAGAAGACTATTTCACAAAGTTTATAAGGAAGGAAAACCAGGACTGGCAGGTGACATGGTGGTTGAGGTGCTGGACTCCCACGTGACCAACTATGGTTTGGATCCAGGACCTGGCAGCTCTCTCTCTCTCTCTCTCTGTCTCTCTATCTCTGTCTCTCTGTGGTCAAATGAAAACAATAAATAAAAGTAATAATAATAATTCTAAAAATAAAGGAAAGAAAACCTCGTTCCCACATTACATGAGAGCCCACAAACTCTTCTTTGCCCTGGAGCTCCTGGAAAAGCACAGTGTCCTCAAACCATGGGGAGAGTAGAGTGGCATCCCGATATGGCTTGCTCAGCCCTATACCTACCCAGAACCTCGTAGCTCGGCAACCACTCTCTTCTTGGCAGCAAAATCTGAGTCACAGAGGTTGAAGCTCTGGTAACCATTCCGTCTAATAAATAACTCCCATTGATTTCCTAGCCTAGGGCTTTGCTACCTCTTCTTCATCAGGAGCTCTGATTGCTGGCACAAGCAGACAGGCCTGAAAATCTCTCACACATTATTGGTGCTGTCCACCCCCCATCCTCACCCACAGATGCATATAAGCCTTGAAGCCTGAGGTCTTATAGAGTGTGATCTGGTAAGCTGGGACACAACCAGCTTATCCCGGTCACCACTGCTGCTGTGACAGCCCCAGGCCAAGAACATGGACAAGCTGCTGCTCTGGGTCTCTGTCCTCATCAGCCTCCCAGAAGCTTTTGCTCAAGCAGGTAGGAAGGTCAGGGGATGGTCATGGAACATGAGGTGAGAAAAAATATATATAGAATATATTTTTCCTTCATTTGTAGTAAAAGTCATTATATTTCTTTCTTTATCCCACAGATCTCAGTGGGAAGGTGTTTGTATTCCCTAGAGAATCTTCTACAGATCATGTGAGCTTGATCACGCAACTGGAGAAACCTCTGCAGAATCTCACTGTGTGTTTGCGAGCATATAGTGACCTCTCTCGTGCCTACAGCCTCTTCTCCTATGGCATTCAGAACAAGGATAATGAGCTACTCATTTATAAAGAAAGAGTTGGAGAGTATAGTCTATACATTGGAAGAGAAAAAACAACCTTCAAAGTTACAGAAACACTCCCTGCTCCAGTCCACATCTGTGCCAGTTGGGAGTCCTCCTCCGGCATTGCCGAATTTTGGGTCAATGGGAAGCCACTGGTGAAAAAGGGTCTGAGGCAGGGTTACGCAGTGGGAGCACACCCCAAGATTATCTTGGGGCAGGAGCAGGATTCCTACGGAGGTGGGTTTGACAGGAGCCAGTCCTTTGTGGGAGAGATTGCAGATGTGTACATGTGGGACTCCGTGCTGTCTCCAGAAGAAATCACATTTGCATATCAGGGCTCCCCTCTTAATCCTAATATCCTGAACTGGCAGAATCTGAAGCACGAAGTGAAAGGATATGTTGTCGCTAAGCCCCTAGTGTGGGTCTGAGGTCTTGAATCAATAAGGAGACTTGAAAATGAAATGACTGATGCTTAATTGGCTCCAAACAACTTAATACTAGACCTTATAGCTTTTTCCTCTTTAAATTTCCTATCTACGTTTCTGTCTAATTAAAGAAAAATAGTGCATCTCATGAGTTAATCCTAGATTAACTCTATCTGTGTCTGTTTAATGCTTTGTATAGTCCCAAACATTTTCTCTTACGTCTATAGAATGGGATCTTCAAAAAGTTCATGGACATGTGTATTATGGACAAAAAAAAAAAAAAAAACACAAAACTGTGCATAGATTTCAAACTGTTTTGCACCAAAGTGAACGTATACTTTAATTCTACTTTTCATGAACTTGAAGTTCTCTCATGTTTGGTAATTGGTATTTCATTATCTGAAAAATCAGATTGTGAAATATGGGGAGGGAGACCTTGAAGTAACCAAAAAGATAGACCGCAAAGCCGGCACTTTGAATGAGCAAGACCTACTACCTGCTAACCGTCATTTTACTAACAATTCAAAATAGATGCAGAATTTCAATGGAAATCTTTCTATTTGTTTTTCCAACTACAAATCAATCAAAAAGAGGTCTGATATTGCTCCAGAGAGACAGCTATTGATATAATGAGACAAGTAAGCTAAGTTGGGAACCTGACAGCAAGAAATGAGACAGGGAAAATACTGGAAGAAGTAGGAAAGAAAACTAAAAATTCATTAATGTAAGTGACAGATCATCTTGTATGAAGAGGTATACGCTTGGGAACCAGCAGTTAGCGTAATGGCTATGTCGCTGGATTCCCACGTAGTCGACCAAGGTTCGCGTCCTGGACCCGGTGGCTTAGAACTCATGCCGGGCGCGTGTGTGTGCATGCCCAAGATCCTGAGAGGAGAATGGAGGAGAAAGGATTGTGGCGTGACCATCCCCCCTGGAGGTGTGATTTTTCACTTTCTGTCTATATGTCTCTCTCTGTCTGTCTGGTGAGCATATGCGCCCTATAGCGAAAAAAACCTCTCAAAAAAAAAAAAAAAGAGGTATGTGCTTTTATTTATCAAAAATCCTAGGGGACCAGCGTTAGCGTAATGTCTATGTCGCTGGACTCCCATGTAGTCGACCGTGGTTCGCGTCCCGGACCCGGTGGCTTAAAACTCACACCGGGCGCGTGTGCGTGCGTGCCCAAGATCCTGAGAGGAGAATGGAGGAGAAGGGATTGCGGCGTGACCATCCCCCCGGAGGGTGATTTCTCGCTTTCTATCTCTCTGTCTCTCTCTGTCTGTCTGGCAGGCACACGCGCCCTATAGCGAAAAACCCCTCCAAAAATATATATATATATATCCTAGTGGGACTACACAATGTTGGGTTTTCATAATGCTGCCCTCATGTCATCGAGAAAACATTATAGTCTGAATATTGCTCATAAAAATTTGTTTATAATTCTTCCACTTAAACCCCAGTTCATCTATATATATTTTTTTTTTGGGAGAGATTTTTGCTGTAGGATGCGTGCACTCACCAGAAAGACAGAGAGAGACAGAGAGAGACAGAGAGACAGAAACTAAGAAATTACCCCCAAAAGGGGATGGCCATATGCCGCAATCCCTTCTCCTCCATTCTCCTCTCAGGATCTTGGGCACGCATACACATGCGCCCAGGGTGAGTTTAAGCCACTGGCTCTGGAACTCTAAACATGGTCAACTACATGGGAGTCCAGTGACATAGCCATTACACCAATGCTGGTCCCTCATCCCCATTTCATCTTAAGATGACATTGCCCCCCATAACCTGGTCCTGCTTATCTTAACACTGAAAAGCAATTGTCAGGTGTTATTCCTAGTAGTTATTTTTATGATCGCCAAAAGCAAGGAGCACAGTTTTGACACATCCTCAATAGATATAGGTTGCCTTCCCAGAGAAGTAGATGCCAAAGAACTTTGAGCTGCATATGGGAATAAGGCAGATTTTTCCCATCGATAATAGAGCATGAAACCAGGGGAAATCAAAAAGACAGCATTCAAACCATCTTCAGGATGATAGCCAAAGTGATTATTTCCAATTCATGTGGCCATTCTTCCAGAATGGACAAAGAGGCGGTCAGTAGATCCCAGCAATGGGTAAACTTTGAGCTCCATAGCGTGGCAAAGGGGTTTGGGCAGAGAGGAACAGATAGAACCAGGAAAGATTTACTAAGGTACTTAGATGGAAGCTGTAGGCGCTTCACAAAAACATTTCAGTTTCATCTCTGGTGAGGCAGAAACCACGTAGAACCTCAAGTTGGTTGACAGAGATCTTAGCAATACGGGAAATTATTAGTTTCCAGTTGCCGTCTCATAAGTTAATCCTTGATTTATGGCTTTTTAATATTAACACCTTCCTTAAATTGTTACTGTGTATACTATAAAACTTGTCTATTTTCTTGTAATAGATATTTCTACCAAGAACATATGAACATATTGTTTGCCCTAACATGGCGTAAGTGTTCAATGGTATACTGTTTTGGTTCAACAGACACCTCTGCCAAGAAACCAAAAACGAGGTTTAGAAATGAAGCCAGAATACTCTCAGTGGGGCCCAGCATCCATTCATTCAATTATTTATTGAGGAACTACTCTATGCCAGGCACTATGCCAGGTACTGAAAATATAATATTGAGTGAAGCAATCACAGTGCTTGCTTTTTGAGGAGTTTATATTCTAATAAGTCTATGTCCTCTAAATATGAATTTCTTCTCAAAGTAATCTGCCTGTAATATAATCCAACACTCATATCTTTAAACTTTCTTCTGAGACTGATAGAATACTTCCCCTCTGAACTCCATTTGAGTTAGAGATAACATTTTTTGTTTCTTGGTGATCATTTGCAACTACTTCTATTTATCTTTAAGATCTAGTGTACCAGGCTGCTTTCTTGTTCTTGGGACCCCATACCCTTGATAAGGCTTTCAAAGATAGAATTCAAGATGACTACATATTAACTTTCTTCTATGTGGCCTTCTTCATCCAGAAAAAAATCCATGCATCTTTTGTCCCTATATTCTAGGAGCCCAGGGTAATCTTAGTGCAGACAATACTTTCCTGCTTCTATGGTGACTGTAGCTTTCTCAAGTCTTCTGTGTCTAAAAAAGCAAGTATATTTCAAGTTTCTGAGTTAATCCTGGAAACCCCATCACTCAGCTTGAGGTGAAGGAAGTAGAAAGATCAAAAATCACTCTTTCAAAATGCCAGGAACGTGACCTTCTATCCCCTCAAGCAACAACAGTGAAGCAATGACGCTCCCTAAATATCTTTGGAGAAGATTTTTCCTGTTCCAGCACTCTGTCTCCTCTAGACACCTTGTTCTAGCCAAGGGATACAAGAGTCACAGAGCTGGTTCTTAATCATTTGCATTATAAATTATTCCCATGGTTAAGTCTGTATATACTATTTTTATTATCTAATATCTATTGCACTGATGGCTTATTCAAAACCAAAGAGACAGAAGTTTCATTTCAACATCATCTAAAATAGACACGGGATTCAGGATACTCGTCTTAAAGTATTTTTCTTAGATACAGTGGTTGTCAACAACAAAAGCAGAAAAGGAGCCAGAAGGAGGCCCAGTGGTGATGCAACTGGACCCAAATGGGAAAGGCCTTGAATGTGAGTCCTGGGACCTCCCCCAGCCTTCTGGGCCTGTGTATGCTTGCCCAGGATCTGGCCAACTAAGGCTAGGAGTGAATTGTGGTGTTGGAGGTGCCTCTCTGTCTATGTGTCTGTCTTCTATCTCTCTCATGGAATAAATAAATGAGATTTAAAAAAAAAAAAAAGGCACCAACAGTAGAGAGGAAACTACTTGAGTGATTCAGAATCTATAAAAAAAGTGGAAGGACTTGGAAGGCAAGATAACCGAGGAACACGACTATGTAGTGATTCAATAATTGCCTTGAAAATTGTCACCCCACACTCATCAGTAAGGCTGTAGAGGAGCAAAAGGTACACAAGATGTGCGATGTGTGACTAAAAACAGGAGTAATCTCTAACACGAAAAGCAATTTTGGGCCTCGCTCTTTCACAAGTCGGTTTTATTCCTATTTGCGTAGCTATAAAAATCAGAGGGAAACATTCAGTCTTTGGTTCCAGCGATGACTTTATACTAGAGTCCATCAGGGATCTTCCTGGATGAGAGATCTTGAAGTTACTCCTCCGTGGGCTTTATAAGGGAGAGTGGGTGGAGGCTGAGGTTAAAGCAATAAAGTCTCTTTTAGTTTGTGATGTTACTTAGCTCAGATGTAAGTTGAGATGAAGATGAAAAAAGATATTTTATCAAGTGGCGTGGTGGCTAAGGCGCTAGACACTCCCACATGCCTGACCACGGTTAGAGTCCCAAACTTGGTGGCTTTCTTTCTCTCTCTCTCTGTCTGGTCAAGTTAAAATAAGTGAATGAATAAATAAAGTTAAGTAAATAATTCTTTTATAAAAAGATATTTTATCTCATTGGCTCTAAAAGGAGTAATCTGTAGTCATATTTAGAAAGCAATGTGGACACTTTTTAGATGTTTAGGGGGCTTTCTCCTGTTTAGAGAGAATAAGTGTCCAAGATTATCTAAAAACAGAATGAAAAGTAAAACATGACCTAAGCCATCTTTAACACCTTGACAGGATTAAATAACTGATGGATTTATAAACTAAATGCTATTGTATTCCAAAATTTTCTATTTCATTTGTGTCAGGCTGTGGCCATGATCCCCCTGAGTTTAATATAAGAGATTCCTGGGACCAGCAGATGTTGTAATGGTTATTTCGTTGAACTCCCATGTAGTCAACCAGACCTAGCAGCTTAAAAACTCACACTGAGTATGTATGAGCCCGTGGCCCAAATCCCAAGAGGAAAATGGAGAAGGGATTTTGGCATGACCATCCTCCTTGAGAAATGATTTCTCACTTTCTGTCTTTCTGTCCCTGTCTCTCCAGCGAGAGCATGTGTTCCATAGGGGGAAAAAAAAAATCCCTCTCTAAAAACATAAACATATGGAAGATTCCTAAAGGCACCACCATATTATGTGACCACTGGTGGTAAAGACACATGCACTGTGTCACAGATAACCCCAGGATCCAAAAGCAAAGTGAATCTCATGTTATGGATACATTGCACGAGACCCATAGACTATGGAGGTTGGGACAGCTGTGTCTGGAATGAGAGACCAAAGGGAAATGCAGAGCACTCCACCTAAAGCTCTCACTGGTGCAACAGCTTCGCACCATGGCTCATAGGTTTCTTGTGAGGATCAGATGCCATGATATACACCAAGCAACTAATCAGTGTGTGTTCCTCATAGTGTAAGTGCTCAGTAATTGTTAGCTGTGATGATAATGAGGATGAGGATGAAAATAATTGCCCAAGACTTTAAATTGACTACCCTAACTTCCGAGCATATTCCTACAAATGAAAGGAAATTTTTGTACTCCACTTTCAGTTCCTGTCCTCAAAACTTTATCCTTACCTAACCAAATCCATGCATGCCCCTTGAAAGAGAAGGAATGAAGTAAGCTCCTTCTGGATACAGAGAGCCACTATGTTTGATTTCTACACGGGTGCATTTTCACTTACGGTAACTGAGGCTAAAACACTAACAGAGATTCAGAAGAACAAAAGGTGGTGTTCTGTGAAATTCAACATGTCTTCAACTGGGTTGAGCTACATTCCCCTGGAAGAAAACTAACTCCATGACCACAAGAGACCAAAGCAGGCCAGTATTCCTTGTGTGATCCACTTGTAATGAGGTCCCCTGACTCATTTCTGGATTCTGACTCCATGCACACCCATGGGACTCATATAAAGTTTCTTGGCAAATTAACCCAGGAGACAAGAACTAGAAGCAAAACTTCTCCCCTGAGAGACCCTTCCTAATTAGAGAGTTTTAAGGAGCAACTCTTCGAAAGGCAGAGACAGAGTCAGAGGAGCTCAGTGCGAATATCACCTTGTATTGCAGCCAGAGTCCAGTGAAATGTAAGTGACTAATATCTCATAAGGCTGAGCTCTGAAAGATTCCAAGATGTTGTGATTTCTTTTAGCACAAAAAAAAAAAAAAAAGACAATCAGATTTCCTGGCATTGCAAGAATCTTTTGTAAATAAGGCACGATTGCTTGGTACATTCTAAAACCAGAAAACAGCACAGATTTTAGACTCAATAAGGAAGGGGGAACTCTTTGGATCTGAGGAGGCTTCTGTCCCAAAGAAAAGTCATCCTTTCCTTATGTATTCAAAGAGTTCCTCTAATCGTCAGTTTTTTAAGAACTCAACTCCTCCGTATCTAGATCTTTAGGTCTATTTTGTTTAAAAAGGGAAGGAAATGGAAACAAACTCTGCAATAAGACACCATCGTTGTTTTTTTTTTAACCACACAATTCCGGGGCACACAAAATAAATTTACAGAGGCTTAGCATACCTTGCATATTTAATTAAAAGAAAAAAACAGGTTCTCTTTCCAGGCATACATTTTTTCTTATCAAGACTGTAATATTGAGGGTTATCTGAGGTTTTTGTAATAATTTCTTCCCTTTACAAATGGTGTTTCCTTTATACCTTCAAATTGAGTTTTCCCCTCCACTTTATTTTTCTTTTTCCTCTGGTAGGAATATTGGCTTCATGACTAAGATTTTGATGCATGAGCACATTTCAGTATTTTTACTCTCCCCCAGGGTTTTTATCCTTCTGGAATGTATAAATCATTTTGAAAGCTCTTTTCTGTTGTACAGCGGGCTTTTGAGATTATCTACTGGTGTGTCCCCTACACAGAAATACCCAAAGGGTTCAGGAAAAGAAAGAGCCCGGATTTGGGTGTAGAAGGGCTGCTGCTACCGCGCAGCCGCACTTCTGACTGCGCGGTGACTCATCCATGGGCCAGCACGTGGCACCGTGATTAAGGTGACTGGATCCCACATGGGTGACTGCACGGCTTGAGTCCCAGACCCAGCAGCTGGAAAAACATGCCAGGCATATGTGTATACCCAAACTCCCAAAAGGAGAGAGAAATAAAGAAGGGATTGAAGTGAGATCATTCCCCATGGGGGTGGGGAGGTACTTTCTCACTCCCGTCAATCCTGTCTCTGGTGGGCACATCTGCCCCCATCGAAATTCTTTTAAAGGTAGCCAGTACTAAAAAACTGTGATGACCATCTGGTGCTACAATGCCTGAAATAGCCACTGATGGAACCAATCTGCCCATTCTACACACTTGGGGGTAACTTTCTGTTACTGTGGGGCAACTTCCTGTCCTTTAAGCCCTTCCTAAGGGATTAGTGTTCAGTGCTACCTGATTTTGCCTATATACATCTCTTTGTAAAGTCCAAGGAGCACTAACAATATGGTTTACTCCTGGATCCCTCTCCCCAGTCTCTCTCACTGGGGCCTGCCTCATCTCCACAGATAGTCCTGTATTTGCCATTTGAGCCGTAAGTCCTTCTACAGTAACAATTTTAGATAGTTTGTGCACTTCAAAAAGAGGCTAAAATGTGAGACAACCAGGCAATTAACGTTAACCTTTAAGGGACTCCAAAATATCCCTGGAGATGTACCGAGATGGACTATAAAACAGAACAGAATTCCTTTTGGGGAGAGCATCATGGTTGGGAAGGATACTTGGAGAAATCAGTGACGTATGGAGGACCCTGAGACGGTGATGGTCACTGAAGTGTGCCCAACAGAGGGTGAGTCCTAGGGCTCAGGGCTCTTTCATTGTTGATCTGTTTGTTTGACGGAATGTGACGCTGAGCTTTCCCCCACAGCCGAGCTCCTCAAGTAGGAGAAGTGAGAGCTTCCTCACTTACCACCTACCTGCCTCCAAATAAATACGAAGCAAGATGGAAAGAACGTTGGTTTGAAGGGGCAGTTCTGGCTCCCACATGTCTTGACCTGACTTCTCTTTTAGCATTTGTTCACCCAAGTTTTAGGAACATCATGCTTGAAGATGTTCTTTCATCTTCCATTCAGTCCGGTTCAAATGTGTACCACAGGCAACAAACATACTTCTTTTCCCCAGGGCTTGTGTATCTTACCCAGGCTTCCTGTATCTAATAATCCATTAGCTATCTGGACTATCATTTTATAACTAATTTGAAGTAAATTCATATTCACATGCAACCTATTTACAATACATCAGTGGATGATGAAAAGTAGCACTGTTTGGCCCCTAATTAAAAACACTAGGAATAGCTTCCCTTCTCTAGTCTCAATTCGGTTTTGTATTTTCTTCCTCTTTTCCTATCCCAAATATGTCAACAGTCTTCCTGCCTCTATAACTCCTTAAGCATCTTTTGTTACTCATCACAATAGTCTCGTCAGGAGAGAGAAAAGGCATGTGAGGTCTGTTCTTCTTGTCTGCCATATTAACAAAATCCTTTGATTACTCCATGTAATCAGGCTTTCCAGCCCGAAGCTCTACTAAAACTATGGCTGACAAGAGTGACCCACTTCTTGTCAAGTCTAATATCTGTTCTCAGCTGGCATGCTCCTTAACCTCTCCAAACTATTTACAAGCCATACTTTTGTGCTTAAAATTAGAATATTTAAAAATAAGGGTCATAATTCTTATTATAACAATGGCAGTGTGCAAAATCAAACTCCCCTATAATTTCACCCCACCACAACATAACAACTAGCCCATGATAATACCAGGTGCATATCTTTTCTGACTTTTCCCCTACATACACAAATATGTATGAGCATTGACACACACACACACATGAATATTCTTAACTATATGGAAGCACACCATATTATTATTACTTACTGGGTTCTTTTTTAACTTTTCTTTTTTTTTTTTTTTTTTTAGGTTTTTGCCATAGGGCACATGTGCTTGCCAAAGAGAGAAAGTGAGAAATCACTCATCAGAGGAATGATCATACTACAGTATCTTCTCCTCCATTCTCCACTTGGGATATTGGGCATGTATGCACACATGCCTGGCATGATTTTCAAGCCAGCTGCCAAGTCTGGGACTCGAACCACAGTTGACCATATGGAAGTCCAGCACCTTTACCACTCTGCCATATACTGACTCCAAGTGTTTTGTTATTATTAAATGTGTTCCACATGTCTGCCATGGTCAGCCTCTGTAGCAGCAAATTCAACAGAATGCTCACCACTGAAAGAAATGTTTAACATGTGTGCTGTCCAATATGGTAGCGACTTGTCACATGCTTCAGCATTTGAAATGTAGCTAGTGTAACTGACCTAATTTTTAATTTTCTTTCATTTGAATTTGTTTACATTTGCATAGCCACAGCTCTATTGCCCTATCTCTTTCTTTCTCAAAAGCTGCTTAGAGTTGCACTGTCACTCTCTGTAATCTTTGCCTACCTAATTAATTGCAACCCAGTTGTTTTTTAATATAAAATTACGTATTAGTGACACACTCATTTCTACCTGCAATGTTTGCTTCCTTATTTATCAGGATGAGGAATTTTCCAGAACACCCACAATGTTTCCTAAATTATGTTTCTTGGATTCCTAGGGACCTAGAATATTTCCTAGATTATTGCTGGCGATTTCCTAAATGCAACCAAATTCTCTGACCTAGTGATGCTACCTTTTGTTTTGTTTTGTTTTGTTTTGTTTCCTCCATTTATTTATTTATTTTTACATTTTTCTACAAACATTTACTTTACATATCAAAAAATTTTTGCTCATACTCCATAGTTCTGTACAGTTAATAACTTTCAAGATTTCAGAATACTGAATTTTAAAGATAATGTTCAAAATCTTTCTTATTATTTTGTATAATTTTGTTTGTGACTCTATAACAACAGAGACAATATGGTTTTAAATATTTTTGAGAAAGTTTTTACTTGTCAACTACTCAAATTGTTGAAAAGCAAATGCCCGGCACACAAGTCACATATAAACCTTCTCAATTCAACCCTGCCTACCAAATATTCTGTGATATACCATCTGCTAGCAAAGATCACTCCTTTTCTTCCTTCAACGTCTTTCTCAAGATAATCCTCTGGTGTGGTTGCTCTTTTGCAATTTCCACTGATTACAATGCTAGGCTGGAAAAGTCTAGGTTATTTTATGTTATAAATTCTTCCATATGTCTTCTCTAATCCTCTCTGCCAGGCAGAACTATTTATGGTGCCACACCATCTTTCTAAGAGCTTCTGTTGGCTTACTTGAGATCCACCTTAGTTTCATAGTTTTCTGATTAATCTTCAGGTATGACATTCCAGTCAAAGCCCTGTCCAATAATGAGTATTTCCAATTTCTGATTCAATGCAACAAGCATTATTGAACTTATGCAAATAACCCTTCTGCCACAAAATAAGAATACTCCCTAATATTTCCAATTCAGGAGGGGTCAGGAAGGAAGAAAAGTTTATGTTTCCACTTAAAGAAACAAACAAGGGGGAACAGCAGTTAGCGTAATGGTTAAGTCGCTGGACTCCCACATAGTCAACCGCAGTTCGTGTCCTAAACCCGGTGGCTTAAACTCATGCTGGGTGCGTGTGCACATGTGCCCAAGATCCCAAGAGTAGAATGGAGGAGAAGGGATTGCGGAGTAGCCATCCCCCCCTGGGGGGTGATTTCTCACTTCGCTTTCTATCTCTCTGTCTCTCTCTCTCTGTCTGGCGAGCGTACGCACCCTATAGCAAAAACATCTAAAAAAAAAAGAAAAAGAGAAGAAAAAGAAACAAACAAGAAAAATATTTTAACAAATTGCTAAGCCTATCAACAACTCAAAAGACAGTAAAATATTTAAATTGGGAAAACAAAGCATAGTAAAAAAATCAGTAATGTTTTACTCAAAAGTCATAAAGTTCTATTTCACGATTTCAGTCTTATTCAAACTCTCTTCTGTTGAATATGCAGTGTAACTGTGGTCCAAACTTTTCATTTAAATCCTGGAAGTTAACATTCAATGTTTTAGTGATATTTTTTTATCCCTAGCATTAAATTGGTCATTTTCATGATTGCCTTTTGTTCTCTTATTTCTGTATGTGTCTTTAGTTTTCCTGATAGGACACTCCTTCCAGAACTTCTTGAAGAGTGAGTGGGTCTGCTATTGGCAAATTCTTTCAGGTCTTGTTTTTCTGAGAACGTTTTTATCCTTTCTTTCCATATAAAAGATAATCTTGCTGGGTATAGTATTCTTGGTCTTGGTTGAAACTGTTTTTCACTTAACACTTTGAATATATTTTCCCATTCTTTTCCTTGCTCACGTTGTTTCTAATGAGAGGTCTGAGGTTAACCTGATTGGATAACCTTTATAAGTAACCTGATGTTTCTCTCTTGCCGATTTTAGTATCTTGTCTTTGTCTGTAGATTTGGCCAGTCTGGCTATGATATGCCTTGAAGAAGATCTTCTTGGGTTGATTCTATTAGGAGTCCTTTGTATTTCTTGTGTCTGGATATTTGAATATGTCTCTAGATTTGGAAAGTTTTCTTCCAAGATTTCATGGAATAGATTATCAATGCCCTTATTAGTTTCCTCACCTTCTGGGATGCCGATTATCTGGATGTTTGGGCACTTAATGCTGTCTAGTATTTCTTGTACAGTATTATCATTTTGGAGGGGGTGTTTCTCAGTTTTTTTTGGTTGTTTTTTCTAGACCAGAGGTTTTGCCTTCAACATCCGAGATTCAATTTTCTGCACGAACTAATCTGCTTTTAATATTTTCGAGGGCGGTTTTGATTTCCTGAATGGCAGCCTTCATCTCTAACAGTTCCATTTGATTCTTTTTTTATGGTGTGTATTTCTTCTTTCAGATCATGCAAGAACTTCAACACCTTCTGGAACTCATTGTCTCTTTTCTTCTGCATCTTCTGGATTTCATTATCTCTCAGCTCTTGCATCTCATTTAGTTCTGTCACTATAAATATTCTGAAGTCTCCATCAGACATTTCCATGAGTTCTACTGTACTGTCTGTGGATGATGAGGGATTGTTCTTTTCCCTTAGGGGAGAGATATTTTCTTGATTTCTCATGTTTCTTATGCCTCTGCAGTTGTTTCTGGTCATTCTGTGACAAAAACTATCCACTGTGCTTGGCAATGTGGTATCCACAGAAAGATTAGGAGTCCAGATTTATAAAAAGAAATTTCTTCATTAGAGCAGGAGGTTCAATAACTGGTGAGGATTTCAATGACTCAAAGTATTCAGATGCTTGGCTACTGTGCACCTACGCCTATCTAAACATTCAGTTTGTGGAGAGTAAAGCTTAGAGTAGAAAAGTAAAGTTTAAAAAAATGAGCAAAAAGGAAATAAAACTAGAAAATTACCACCAAAAAAAAGGGGGACAGGACCAGCAGTTAGTGTAATGGCTATGTCGCTGGACTCCCACGTAGTCGACCGCGGTTCACGTCCCAGACCCAGTAGCTTAAACTCACGCCGGGGGCGTGTGCATGCGTGCATGCCCAAGATCCCGAGAAGAGAATGGAGGAGAAGGGATTGCAGCGTGGCCATCCCCCCTGGGGGGTGATTTCTCACTTTCTGTCTCTCTGTCTCTCTCTGTCTGTCTGGTGAGCACACGCACCCTATAGCAAAACCTCTCCCAAAAAAAGGGGGGGAGGGGATTTCTTTTTTACACATAAAAAATGAAAACCACACAGCGCACTAGTGCCACACGAACATGCCAACACATACCTCAGCTTTAAAATGGCTTCTTGTTTGACTATTTTGAGAGTCTATGAGATGAAGTTTAGAGAATGGCTTCCCTGAACACTCCAGGACACAACTCAGCTTTAAAATGGCTTCTTGTGTGACTATTTCAGGAGTCTAGGAAATGGAGTTTAGAGCATAGCTTCCCTGAACATGCCAGAACACACCTCAGCTTTAAAATGGCTTCTTGTCTGAATATTTCAGGAGTCTCGCTACCTTGTTTTTGTAAGCAAAGTAGTTCAAACCACTATTTACTATATAGCAGAAATCCCAGGATCCCTCACCGAATTTCTAGGAAAAATTACTTGCACGGGGGAAGGCAAGGCCGGAGAAGACCCTGAGTTTTGTTCAGTCATTACCAACATAAACTTTTGCCCCTCACTCTGGGTTTTATCCCTACGTATGGTGCCCTTCTCTCCACTGTGCTGTTACCCAATTCACAAATCTCAGTGACTGAAGATTATACATACAGCAGCTTTACATGAAGCTTCATGGCTCTTGAGGGAGTCTATATTACAATATAGTTTAGCAAACAACCTTAAATCAGATATTATACCTCTTCACCCTTAAAATTTCCTCTGCCAAAGAGAAATCAATCATTTATTTTAAGGTCTAATTCTGTTGTGTTACTGATCCTTCTCTTTCTCTCTCTATTTTATTTTATTTTATTTTATTTTATTTTATTTTATTTTATTTTTATTGCTAGACGGTGCATGTGCTTACCAGAGAGAGACAGAGAAGAAGAGAAAGCACCATTCATAAAGAATGGCCACACCACAATCTCTCCTCTTTGCCTCCTTTCAGG